CACGAGCATCTGGTGCGTTCCCCGAGGCCTCCTGCCCACTGGCCAGACTTGAACCCAGGACCACATGGCTGAGAACTTTGACGATTATTGAAATGGCCAGAGGAAACCAAGAGGGACAAAGGCAGGTGGGGGACAGCCTAAGGAGGCAGTAAGGGCAAATAGTGGGCACTCACTTGGGGTCTCCTCCACCAGCCCCTGTATACCAGGCATCCAATGAGGGGGCCTACTAGGGCTCAGGATGGAAAGTGTAGAACCTAAGAAAATCTCATTATTAACCACCCTGCAAACCTAGCAGCTTCAAACAACATTCAGCACAGAAAAGCCAAAAACCTGATTCCAACAGGGGCAAAGAATTTGAAGAGACATTTTCCCACAGATTGCAACAGGCCACATGGACATAAAGCCCATCACTAGTCAGCAGGAAAATGCAAGTCAAACGCACAGCGATATGGCCTCTCACAGCCATCAGGACAGGCAGAAAATGACAGATGTTAGCAAGGATGGAGAGGGACGGGAGCTCTCTTATACCAACCAGGGGCTGTAAGACAGGGCAGGAAATGGGAAGACATTTAAAACAGAGCGTATGGGTGATCTGGCAATCCCCCCACCCCTTGGTTGGTACCCCAAGTAAGTGAAAGCAGGGCCTGTAATGGATGTTTATATACCCACGTTAAAGCAGCATTATTAACAATAGCCAAAAGGCATGTACTGGATGCTTTAGTTCTCAACTTACCACACCCGGCCAAAGGGAGCCTCAACTGAGAAACTGCCTCCAGTGGACTGGCCTTTCCGTAGCTGTGGGGCATCTTCTCGATTGTTGAGTGATGTGTGAGAGGGCCCAGCCCACTGTGGGCGGTGCCACCCCTGGGCAGGTGGTCTTATCTTGTATAAGAAAAAAAGCTTAGCACGGGTCAGAGGAGCAAGCCGCTAGTCAGCAGTGTTCCTCCATGGTCTGTGCTCCAGGTTCCTGACCTGAGCTGCTGCTCTAACTTCCCTTGGTGCTGAACTGTCACCCAGGAGATTTAAGATAAAATAAACCCTTTCCTCCACAAGTTGGTTTTGGTCAGTGTTTTTATCAAAGCAGTTAAAGGCAAATTAAGACAAGGTGGAAGCAGGGCCCGGGGAAATAGCACAGAGGTAAAGCCCTTGCCTTTAAGCATGAGAACCTGAATTGGGTGCCCAGAACCCATGTAAAAATTCTGGGTGTTGGAGCCCATGTGTAATCCCAGTGCTGGGGAGACGGGCAGGAGGATCCCTGAGGCTTCTAGCCAGCCAGCCCAGCCCTGTTGGTGAGCGCCACCTGTTGGTGAGTGCCAACCCAGTTAGAGACCCTGTCTCACAGAAGGTGGAACATGCTTCTGAGGATGACACCTGAGGTTGTCCTCTAGCCTCCCCATGCAATGCGCACACATGTCCTCCTCAAACACACGAGCACTCGTACCCAAACGTCCGCCTTGGATGAATGAACGAACACAACATAGAATGTCCACATAGGGAATATTATTATTAAGCCTTCAGAGGAAGGAAATTCTGACCCAGGCAGCAACAGGGGTGAACCTAGAGGACATTGCGCCAAGGGAGATGAGCCTGTCACAGAAAGACAAATAGTCCCCACCTCCGCTCCTGTGAGGCCTGTGGAGAAGTCACATTCCACATGGACCCAGGATCTCTGAGCCTGCCAGAGGAACAGGGAATTGATGCTTAATGCAGATTGGGTTTCCGCTTGGAAGATGGATGGTGGGGACAGTTGCACTGAGTATGCGGAATGCTGCTGAACAGTGATCGTAAGTTTTTTGTGTTTTACCACAATTAAGCAGCTGCTCTTGGGCTTGGGTTATAGTAACTCAATGGTATAGCACTGGCTTGGCATGCTCAAGGCCCTGTATTCCAATCCCAGCAATGCAAGCATGCACACACGTGGGCACACACAGAGGAGGAGAGAGGGAGAGAGGGAGAGAGGGAGAGACAGAGAGAGAGACTCTCATACAGACTACAATTATTGAATTCTCGCTCATGGTTTCCATGTGTGAGGGGTTTGGGAAGGGCTTTGCTGGGTGATTCTGGATGATTCTGGATAGTTCTGGAAGGTTCTGCATGGAGGTATTCTTTTTTATACCCTTGTGCCCCTATGGGCAGGAACCAAGTCCTAGTTGTCTAACTGGTTGCTGTGACTGTGCTCCTCAGCTGCCAACCTCAGGGAGAGCCAGGTCTGGACAGCCAGGCAGTTGAGGGGCCCAGGAGCCCAAGGCCAACTGCCAAAAAGGAAGCACCAAACAATAGCGCCCAGGAGGCCCAGCCTCTCACTGCCAGATTTGCTCTTCCAGGGACAAAGGAGATTTCCTCTGCAGGAAATGATCTGCAGGCAGGGCTTCCTGTGGGAGCAGGCTGAGAGGGGTCAGGGAGGATGAGGCTGGGGCAGAGTCCTTGGTCCCCACCACTCTTGATCTCTGGGGACTAAAGGCCATGGAGGGTAGCCTGACCCTGGGCAGCTAATCACTGATGTGCTCTAAACGAGACCCTAAGCTTTGAACCTGGAGGTGAAGCCATGTCCATCAATGGCTACACAAGTCTGGCACCTTCATGTCCCTTTCCAAAGGGAGATGGAATGGAGCCACTGTGCCCTGTGCCTCTAAGTGCCAAGTTTATGCAAACAACCCAGGCCCAAGAGTGACCTCAGGTCCTTTCTTATCTCCTGGAGTAGAAGACAAAAATAAAGAGACAAAACCCCGAGCATGCATCCCAAAGGTGATGAGCTGAGGACGCTGCTCCGGCTCACCCCACTACTGCGTTTGGAATGTCATGGCAACAGGCACTGGGCTGTGTGGAAAGTGGAGAGAAGTCGTTGGAGAGGGGGTGCTCTGACTCTGAACCAGATGCATTCTTGTGCCTCCCCTCTCAATGAAACAGAACCACCAGGAAGGGGCTGGGCAGGGTAGGCAGTCAAGGACTCCTGTCCACCAGCTCCCACCCTGGACACTGGCCAAGGAGAATGCCAGCAACTTAGATAGGCATGTTTAGGTCTTTCCACAATGTCAAAATTTAAAGGATAGCAATAAATTCATATACACTTATTTCACCCGCTTCAATTCACCAAGCATTCCTGATGTCACTCAGTAGACATGGCCATTGGTCATCACAGGGTCTTTTTGAGACAGTTTCATGTAGCCCAGGCTGGTCTCAAACCCCCTATGTAACTGAGGATGACCTTGAATTTCTGATACTCCTACATCCATCTTCAGAGTGCTGGGATTACAGGCCTGTACCACCGTGCCTGGTTTATATGGTGTTGGGGACAAACCCAGAGGGCTTTGCACATGCTAGACAAGCACTCCACTAGTTGAACTACATCCCCAAGCCCTTCACAGTATTTTATTCTAGTCTTAATTACTAATATTAAGGCTCAGATCTCATATTACCTTAGAACAGTCTCTCTCTCTCTCTCTCTCTCTCTCTCTCTCTCTCTCTCTCTCTCTCCAGAATAGATGAAAAGGGTCAGAGAGGCTTTGTGGTTTGAAGAGGTTGAACCAAAGGGAGAGTAGACAAAGATGGGCCTCTGTAGCCCTGCAGAGGACTGGATAAGAGTTTCATAGGCTGCAGTCATGGAGCTGTTCAGGTGTGAAACTGTCAAAAGCAGGTTCTAGTGGCAGCTAGCTGGAGCTTGGGGACAGACCTAAAGGTTATTTAAAAAAAATTATTATTATTTTTATTTTATGTGTATGAGTGTATTGCCTGCATGTATGTAAGTTCACCCATGTCATGCAATGCCCATGGAGTCAGAAGAGGGTGTAGGATTTTCCTGAAACTGGAGTTACAGATGGTTGTTAACCACCATGTGGGTGCTGGAAATCGAACTCAGGTCCTCTGCAAGAGCAGCCAGTGCTCTTAACTGCTGAGCTGTCTCTCCAGCCCCGGACATGGAGGTTATTTACTGTGACAATTTTCCTGGCCGAGGCTGTGATGGGCAGCAGGTAGAAGGTCACCGTGTCTTCCACGCCTCTGTCTTGGATGCTTCCCTCTCACCGTCTTCTCAGCTGAGGCCACTATATCATTTGTTGGTCTGGAGTATTTGATAAACTCAGCAGGTGTGGCTTTTCTGTTGTGTTGGTTTTCTGTTTGTTTGTTTGTTTGTTTTTAATGTGTTTGAATGTTTTGCCTGCGTGTATGTATATGCATGTCAGATCCCCTGATTTGGAATCACAGGCAGTTATATGCTGACATGTGGGTGCTGGGAACTGAACCTGGGTCCTCTGCAAGAAAAGTGCTATTAACTGCCAAGTTATTTCTTAAATCCCCTAACAGACGGTTTTTGTTTGTTTGCTTGTTTGGTTGCTTTCTCATTTTTTCTTTTCTTTTTTTTTGAGACAGAGTCTCCCTGTCACCCTAGTTGGCTTAGAACATAACCAGGCTGGTTTCGATCTTACAGAGACCCACCTGCCTCTGCCTCCTGAGTGCTGGTATTAAGGATGTGTGCCACCATGCCTGGCTAATGGAGTTTTGATAGGCCTGTGTACCATGTGTTCCTGGTTTTATTTGATAAGTTTATAAATGGTAATATACTTTATTTTTATTTTATGTGTATGAGTGTTATGACTGTATGTATGTAAGTGCAGTTGTGTCATGCATGCAGTACCCTCAGAATCAGAAGAGGGTGCTGGATCCCCTGGAAGTGGAGTTACAGATGGTTGTGAGCTGCCATGTGGGTGCTGGGATTCAAACCCTGTTCTTCTTCAAGAACAGCCAGTGCTCTTAACTGTTGAGCCATCACTCCAGCCCATGTAATATTTTCTTTTTGCAACAAAGTTTTATGTAGCCCTGGCTAGCCTCCCACTCATTATGTAGCTAAGGATGACCTTGAACTTCTGATCCTCCTGCCTCTACCTCTCAAACGCTGAGATTACAGGTGTATGCTACCACACCTAGTTTACATTGTGCTGGGGATCTAAATCAGAGTTTCATGCATGCCAAGCAAGCACTCTACCAACTGAGCTGTATCCTCGGTGTCTAGTGTTAATATTTTATTTGTGTAAATAAGTTATATATTAGCCTGTGCCTCATGGATTGTGCTGGACAGATGGTGACTGTTTACTTGTGCAAACGACACAGAGTCATCCAGTCTTGGCATTTATACTCAAAATGAAGAGAAGTGATAATTAGGGGAGGGTCACAGCTTAGCAAATACAGGGAGAGTATTAAACGGAGTCTCTCAGAGAAGGCACTGCCTGAAAACTATTGTTTCATATAATATGCAAGGACTCAGAGCAGAGCACAACCTGACCTCTTCAGGGAGCCACCTCCAGGGCCACAGGCAAGCTGTGCCAATGGTAAAGACCTTGGGTCCAGGGACTGGGGTGGGGGAAGGACTGGGCACAGCTGGGGTCCCAAAAGCCAAGAGTGGAGTCAACCAGCGTCCATGAAAACCTAAGGAGGGGCAAGACACTCTCTATAGCAGAATGTGTTAGAGAGGTGCCAAACTGGGGGCAGGTGTGATCTGGAGTTGGGGGCTAGAGTAGGTGGTAACCAGAATGATGTGTGAGGTGCAGCTGCAGTGGGTGGTCCTAGGAATAGAGGAACTTTTCAGCGCAGAAGGACCAACACAGGTGAATGGAGGAAGGAGGAGTCAGGAGGAGTCTGTGTCAGCTTAGAGTCTGTCTCCTCACAGGGTTCCCATGGGGAGCCAGGAGGGAGGGGGGCTTCAGGAGTCGGCATCTTGTCCGTAGTCTTCTCGTCCATAGTCTTCTCTGAGCGGGAGTCAGAGGAGCAGGGAAAGCAGAGAGAAGTGGAGACCAGAGCAGGGTGGGGAGGCCTGCAATGACAACAGAGGTAATGGGGGCAGGAAGCAGCCGCTGCACAGCTTGAGGCAGGGTGACCCCAGAGCTCGTGGGGTGGCCACATGGACAGAGGAGAGGAAGAGAGTCCTCCCTGGGGTGGGGACTGCTGCTCCCAGGGGGGCTGGATAGCCCCCACTTCATCTGAGGAGCAGGCCAGCGGCTACCTGCTCCTGACCAGTTTCTGTCAGCCCTCCCCCTGTGAGGTGGGGTCAGATCACTGTCCTTGTGGGAGTAGGGTAAAAGGCATTCCCCTAAAAGCTGTGTTCTGGCATTCTCTCTTTATAAATGAAAAGGTTCTTCTTTGAAGATGCAAGTTAAGGGTCTTAAAATGACACCATCCTTAAACCTAGTGATAGGTGTCCTTTTACAGAGGGAAGTGGAGGTCAGGCCCAGAGAAGCAGACGCAGCAAGAACAAAGAAGAGCTTCCCCCAAGAAGACCTCCAACTTTCAGGCTCAGGAATGGTTAAGCCAATTGGTTTTGTGGTGAATTTCTTTGGAAATGAATATACCATGGCCGACTCCAGGGTCACCAGCTAAGAGCAAAGGACAGAAACACGGCCTCTGGGGCTGCTTCAGCTTCCTCTGCCGAGGCTGTCTGCAGAGAGGTCACAGGGAATTGGGGGTGAGGGGGACAGAGGGCAGGGCAGGAACCAGAGCAGGGCTGTGTTGAGGAAGCTGTGCACAGACCTGCAGACCTCAAGAGGAAGCGATCTCAGAGAAAGTGTTGTCTGCGGTCAGCGGTCTGCAGGAGACGAGGAAGTGGCAGAGCCTGGCCTTGGGCTGTAACTCTTCCCACACTGCCAACAGCAAGGGGTGGAGTCACTGCAGCAAAGCCTCAGGACACCCCCAGTCTGAGTCCCCACTTGCACAGACCCTCCTGAAGCTCTCCCTGTACCTGGACTCATTGTTTTCCTTAAAGGGAATCCCCGGTATGTAAGACAATTCCTGGGTCTCTCCCTGCTGGCCCCCAGGTCTTCAGGGTCCTCTGGTCACACCGAGCTGGGGGCGTTGAAGCCTCCCTGGGCTTTCTGTCCTCTGCAAACCCAACTAGCTCTTGCAACCATCTGTGCACACTATTGATCAAACTTACAACTTACCAGGACCCTGCGATGGGACACTCTCCCTGCTTTAAAGCGACTCAGCCTCAGGGGCGGGGAAAGGAGGCTGGCATACACACGGCCTAGAAGCAAGTAAACTGGCTCAAGTGCGTCCAGCAGGCTGCGGAGGTGGCTGAGCGGAAGAGCTGCTCCCGGAATGGGGACTCCACCTGACTTAGCAAGTGGTGACCTGGGCCTGTGTGTTGACCACAGGTCATTGGAACACAGGAATAGCACTGGACAAAGGTTAGGACAGCCTTCAATTGCTGTGACAAAACACTCTGACCAATACCAACTCGGAAAGGGTTTATTTGGCTTACATTTTCTGGGTCATAGTTCATCAGTAAGGGAGCCCAAGGTAGGAACGCAGGCAGGACCTGGAGGCAGGAGCTGAAACACAGGCCGTGGAGGAACGCTGCTTAGCTTGCTTCCCTCTTCCCTTGGCCTACGCTCAGCCTGCTTTTTTTTTTTTTTTTTTTTTTTTTTTTTTTTTTTTTTTAAAAAAAAAAAAAAAAGAGGACGATAAATCTTTCACTGTGATATATCAAAATAA